CGCTCTGACCGGTCAACAACGGTCACGGTCAATGACCGGTCACAACGGTTATGACCGTGACCGTACCCATCCCTAGTTCTGACTCGTTGAAATATTAGCACAAAAATTTATATAAATAGATTTTAAGCTAAATCATGGAAAGTTCATCAAGTTCAATGATGCTCAAGAAAAAATATAAAAAAAATGCAAAACATGTGGCAAATATCGAATTCATAGTAATAAGGACTCATCAAATTGTGTATTTTGTAATGTATCGCTTCAAGTGCTAAGTGGCAACAAATTGGTTGATAATCTTATTAGAAAATCGCTTACTTTAAAAGTCAAACACCGAATAGCATATATTCCATTTGAGCAATTCACTAACATTGAATATCTTGCCGAAGGTGGATTTAGTAAAATATATAAAGCTTTATGGAAAGATGGACCAATTATTGGATGGGCTCTAATAGTGAATGTTTTAGACGGTGTAAACGTGAAATTGTTCTTAAAAGGCTTAACAATTCTAAAAATATTGATCGTAGCTTTTTAAATGAGGCAAGTACTGCATTATATGGAGCTTATCAATAGAAACGAATCTTTGATTTATTTATTCTGAAAAGCCTGTAATTAAAGGCAGTTATGTAATATTCGTATAATCAACTTTATTGTTTAGTCATTGAATTTCGTAATTACCCTTATTTTCGAGTTTCAAAATTGATGAATTTGGAAGTTCATAATGAAACTATTAAGTATCCTATCGTGAACGAGCACCCACATAAAACGTATAAGCGCACCTTAATTATAATTAGTGATGGGCCGCTGCGCAGGCGGAATATTTCGGAAGGCCGGAATATGCCGGAAACCAACGAAATTTAGCAATTTTGGCCCGCATTAGCCATAATGCAGGCCCGTACAGGCTGCGCATGCTGCGCAGCCTGCGCAGTATTATCAAAAAATCTTCGATTTGCCCATCACTAATTATAATAAGTATAGTAAGAACTAAAATGTGCTCATGAACTGGGTTTGTATTAAATAAACTTGCTTTTACCACCATTGTAATTGACTCAATCTGAAGAACAACTTTTATTAGAGTGCGAAAGCAGGTTTACTTAATATCAAATTCAGTTCCAGAACACTTTTTATTTTTTATTTTTATTTTTTTGCTAATTTTTCCTAGCGATGAAACAGACCTTCATGTTCTAATGATAAAATATAATATTTAACACAAATAAGCATTAGATCTAATATTAGCACCAAAACAACTATTATTTGTATTTTTGTTTTTTTTTGTTTTTTTTACAAACTTTCACACCTGATTTTATATTTTTTTATCACGACTGACCTATTTTATTTATAATTCATTGCAATAGATCATTATTTCAGGGTGTTTATTCAGATAGGATACATTAATAAATCAGTTATTACATGTATTAATCATTGATATCATTAAACATCACGAATCTGCTCTGATATTGCGACTGCAACGACCAACCCGTAAGATTTAATGATATCTATGATAAAACGTGAATAATTATTATTTATATCACATCTCCTAACATAAAAGCTGATTCTATTTTCTGGTTTATTAGTTGGAAATTTATATTAAATTCGTTAGAAAGGCGAAAAATGATCTTAATGTGAATTTGAATGGAGTTATCAATTTTTTTGGCGTTACCCAAGATCTAAAAGCGAGAATTTATACTTGTCATCGACTTTGTGCGAGATGGAAATTTGCATCAATTTCTATTGAATCACAATTAATTGAATTCTTGAAGCAAATTATCAATTCTGAAGGACATTGCAGAGCAACTTTCGCAAATCCATAAGCAGCAAATTATTCATAGGGACTTTCACAGTGGCAATATACTTATTAACAAAGTTCGTGATAATTGGGTGACCGTAAATATTAATGTTTTTGGGATAAGCCGCCCAGCAAATGAATCGTCAGATAATGAAGTTTATGGTATCATTCCATATATTGCACCAGAAGTATTAAGAGGCGGGAAATTGACCACAGCATCAGATGTATATAGTTTGGGGATGATTATGTGGGAAATTACAAGTGGTCAAAGACCATTTTCTGAGCGTAGTCATGATGTGCATCCTATCAATGATATTTGTGACGGTATTCGTCCACCGGTCATTAATGGTACAACAAAACCATATATTGAATTGATGATGAAAAGTTGGGAAACTGATCCATCTAAGAGACCAGCTGCTGATATGGTTGCAAAAACTATTCGGGAGATGACTTGGGATGGTAAAACCAAGCTTCCTAATATTAAAGGCACAAAAATTGCAGTCCATCCAGATGCTGTATTTAAAAGTCGATCATTAAGTTCCCTCGTAAAAACAGCATCAACGCTACATTATACTCAATTAAATTGTTTGCCAATTACAGGTAAAATATATTGTGCATTAAATTATCATTATCTTATTAATTATTAATTATCAATTGCAAAATAACTCTATCTGCAGATCACTTTTACCAAAACCGGAACCAAGAAAGAAAAACTTTCAAGGCAAATAATACAAAAGTACACTAACTAAACGTATTTCTGGCCCCTAAGTAAACTTCAAATTAGCATATAGAAAGCACATACTTGTGGTCGTAAGACCCCCTCTTGCCAACACCACAGGCGAAAAATGGGAAAAACAACCCTCAGACAAACTTTCACTTGTTGAGTGGAATTGGTCCTATGGACCCCTCCACAACAACTAATGCTGCAACTAGCAGCAGGATTACATTAACTAATAACAGCAACCAAATCAATACAGAACCTGAAACAACTGCTCAACAAATATACAACAATGCCACCCCCCTTCAGTGCCTTCTCTCTTATTAATCCTCTAACCTATCTAACAAGCACGTCTAATACAAAAACTATAGCAACAGTCATCTCAGCCAAGCATATTACAACAGAATATACAAAAGAATCTATCAACATTAGTATCAAGGACTGGTCTAAATTTATCTTCATTATCACCTTTTAATCCCAGAATTCGCTAACAAAATTTTCTTTACTGCAAAATTTTTCCGGTCTGGACATATACCAAATATGGTTAAATTTCTTGCACAATGGATATGCAAGCACATTGATACAACCAAATCAATTTTATTTGATTTGACAAGCTCTAAACGTAACTCCGTAAACATTAATGCCAAATTGTCTAAAACTATTCGTAGTTGTGACATGGACATAACAATCAAAGCATATAAGCAAACACAAAAAGCATACCATGTGCCAAAATACTCTAAAGACTACCACTTATTCCATACAACATGATTTCTGAGATCGATACAGATGAGGATACAAACCAAAACAATACTGCCAGTATTACAAAAATAACAGCTAACAACAAAGGCAAAAACAGTACCTATTTTATTAAAAGCTACACTATTAGCAGTGTACCAGCTGAAGCCTCTAGCTCACACAAAACAAACAAATAGTCAGTAGCACAATTTAATATATCTGGACACACCACTACTCACCAAACTGTTCAGATATGCAATCAGCCAACTAAGATCCATAGTATCAAAAAACGGCCTAAGCTCACACCACTTAACACTATTACTAGTACACAGATGCAACAATCACCATCAACAGTATCACCTACACATACTGCTACTACTATGGACTTTACTAAAACAGCTAAATTATCTTATAGCAAAATTATGCACAAAAATCTTAACTTACCAATCTTTGAGATATCTGATAGTACTGTATGGGTGCATCAAGTTGCGACAAAAATAGTACAAGGTACAATACAACCATTTGATCAAAATCACTGAACATATGACACTATAGCCACTTCACTTCAAACTTCTGATGGGATATACCAATTTGTGCAACACAAAGTCAGGTCTACACCTACACAATTTGAACTACCACCAGCAATATATCTGAAGTTTAAACATCTAGATACAAGATTCTTTACTACATTTTCTAGAAATCCTAAAATTATGCCAGCATATCAAAAAGAATATACAAATTTATACAATACAGCATTAGCCAATTACAAAATCAATAACTAGCTTATAATTATCAACTGTGAGACACGTAGAATTATTCATACTATGCTTAAAAGAATGCTGATTGCACAGCACCTTGCCAACACCAACTTTATTACAAGTAGCCACTTTACAGTATTTAAACTAATTTACTATGCAAGAGGATTTCTTCAAATTCCAAACAACAATGATAACACTCCAAAGGAAATTAAGAACGCTATACTTAATGCATTTCAAGACAAGCTACTTCCTCTTCCCACAACTCCTGATCTCATATCATCAGAGGTTACAAAGGACTTCCCCTTTACACTTCCAATTAAACAGCGATCTCATACAGCAGCAATTGTTTACTGTTTGAGAAAACACTTTAAGTTTAACAAGCTACCAGATGCCTACTTTCAAACACTGACTGCTTTACCTGTAAATGTGACTGATCTACCATCTCAGCTACAACAATATTTTCTTATAAAAAATTGACAATTATTCCAATACTTATCATTTTATAGATGAAAACTAGTGGACTACTATAGCTGCGAATCAATTCCACCATCATACTTTAAGCTACCTCTTACTAAGCAGCCATTACCTACAATATACCAGGATTTAAATCCAAGTGTCAGAAGATTCTTCTCCTATGATTCGACACTAGCTCAAGCACCCTTATCTGAAGTAATCTTTCAGCTTAGACAATACTATAGATTCAATCTCCTTCTCAGTGATTATTTCATCATTAAACCACTACTTCCAACTAATTCTGAACAAATTAAAACACAAGATCAGTATACTTACCCTATTACACAAGATGATATTGCGAAAGCCTTCATTAAAGAAGTGTTACAACGCTATAGAATATGCTACCCTCTCCCTAACAATATTATGCAAGCCAACCCTACAGCTAAACCACGCCTACCTACTAGTGAAGAAGTCATTA